CAGGGCGGAACGGCCTATTCCGGTTGGTTAGCTGCGAATAACCAATATCTAAGCAGTCCCAGACCAAGAGCGGCATGCTTGATGAATCTCCTGTGTCCGGGCGAACAGATGCCGCCTCCCAAAAAGCATCCCAGGATTGAGAACAGTTAGATCCTGTTCATGGCATGCTGGAGCATGTATACGATTAGTTCGACATTGAGCTGGCGAGAGCAGTATTCCGCCACTGTGAGGGCGACACCTCACAGAAATGGCTGGTGGGTGGGCTAATGCTGCAATCGCTTCCGTCTTGTTAAAACCCTGGCAGGTCTTCATGCACGTTCAATACACGTCGCCATTTTGTTGGCCGCACAGGTCCGGTTGAGATTTAGTCCTGGTTTTGCGCTGTGAGTATGTGCAAAAGCTGCGCAGAGTACTCTGACTCTAAGCCGGCTCATGGCGAACATTGGTGACCCGAAGCCATGCCCTAGAAAACTTTTGATGACAGCAGTCCAGTCGGTGCTCCTGTACGGGGCAGAAATATGGGCCGGCGCATTGAAAGTAAAAAAATACCGGATTCAAATTTCTTCGGTCCAGCGCAGAGGGGCACTACGCATTGCTTCTGTATACCGTACAATGTTCGCGGACGCGGTTCTAGTTATTTCTGGCGTCATGCCAATTGAGCTACTTTCCTACGAGATAGGCCGAGCAGCTGCCGTGGCAAGGCAACGCGAGCAACTAATCCAGCAGTGGCAACAAAACTGGAACGCGAGCACAAAAGGTCAATGGACGCAGACCCTGATAGCCGACCTTCAAACATGGCTGAAAAGACCGCACGGGGAAGTCGATTTGTACTTGACGCAATTCCTCACCGGTCATGGTTACTTCCGAGAATATCTTCACAGAATGGGCAGGGTAGACTCACCGTTCTGCCACTACTGTGGAAACGTGGAAGATAACGTACACCATACATTCTTCACTTGCGAGCACTTCTTGACCTCGCGCAGAATGTTGGAATAAAGATACGAAGACATAACCCCGAAGAACATAATTGGGGTAATGATCTCCAGTGCAGACAAGTGGGAAGCTCTCGCGAGATGCGTGAGATTCGTACGCCGCTGCTGGATGTCTACCAAGGACATCCGAATGAAACGCCAGTACAAAAGAACAGCCTTGAGGCTCTAGCAGCGCGCTCCTGCATCTGACGAAAGCAATAGAATGCTTTTGCTCGGCTCGAACGCCCCTCTCTCAGATTAATAGATGGGGTAAATAATAATGGAAAAAAGTGAGAATACCCTCTGGCACTGTCCCGCCCGGGCCAGGACGCGCAACCAATTCTTTAACAAGTACTGATCTAAGTGAATGCTATATAAAGTGCTATCGGTGCTTTCGTTTATGAGGGGAAGGTAATAAATTGCCTCCGCCAATCTTATCTTAATGGGGGTTTTCAGCCAACATGTGTCTTCGTGCTCGCCACAATAACCTAACTTAATCATTGATTAAACCACAAATTTAAATTATTTTTTTAAATATTCTAATTGACTTTTTTTATACCCATATTAATTTTAATACCAGTAGCTTTTTTAAATGCGTATATTTAATTTTTGAGTACATACATATGTATTTACATACATATGTACAAATGTAAGAGTATATAATGCCCATTATTGCTGCCCACAAGGACTATGGGCAAAATGTGCGTACAGGCATCGGTGCCCCTTACTACTCTAAAAGAACAATACTTGTTTTAATTTAATTCTAGCGAATTGCACTGCTGGTTAATTTTGAAGTGGCTACAATTAAAATAAGTTAGTGCAATACAAATGTGCCTTTACACACTCACGACTAAGGCATCTAGTGCCGGGATTCGGGATCCCGAATCCCGGGAGTCCTGAGCCCTTTTTGAAGTCCCGAAATACCGGGATCAAGCCCTCGGGATGCCGGGATCCCAAAATATAATTTAATTTTCTACCAAATTAAAATAAAATTACATTCAGACGCTGTAATGGCATAAAAATGCAACCCTACAAAAAATCAATTAATATATTATAATTCTAATACTACTATTATTATGTGTTATAATATATGTATGTATCATACATATTTCATTTCATTTCATTTCATTTATTTAAGTCTATGATTACAAAAACCTTACAGACTAGAATAGAAAAATTGTCTTAATACTACAGATTAGAAACTAAAACAAAAAGGAGGATTAAAAATAATGAGATAGGATCCTAGACTCAAACAAAGATGTGGGCATCGAAAAATCAAGATCAAGTTTATTAAAGATATTATTATATTCATTTAGAGCCCTAATAACGGGGGCGAAATCATAATATTTAGATTTAGCAACTTTAATATGAAATGGTAGATGAGACCGTAACTTTCTATTACGTGTATTGAAGCATATTAGCCCCAAAAGTCCCGGAGAATCAATGGAGCCCCTGATAATATCATATATGAACATTAGGGAATGGATGGATCTTCTACTAGCAAGAGACTTAACGTTAATAAGCATACACCGAGCAGCGTAAGACGGAACCGGCTCATTAAAATGAAGCGGTTGCAGAGCAAACCGAATGAAACTTCTCTGCACTCTTTCAATTCTTAGGGAATGAAACGCATATATCGGATTCCAAATTATGGATGAGGCATTCGTTTTCATACCGGACACCAAATTTGGTGTCACAATTTCGATTGGCTTCATATTTTTCCTTTTTTCTTCGGATATACATATGATCTGTCAAATTTTGGATTTTTTCGTTATTCTGACTAAATAATCATGTACTTCTTCAAATTGTTATATCTCGGGTTCTGTTCATCGTAAGGACCTCATTGTTGACTCTCACAAAACAAACCACCTCATAAAAAAAATTAAATAGTTCTTAAAAAACACCCAGTTTTTGTAACATGTTTTTTATAGAGAATTAACCAAGGATTGGGAAGGGGTAATTTTAAATCCCAAATTTACTGGTCTTTACTATGCAAATCAACTTAAAAAAGTTCAACTGTTAAAATGACTTCAACTGCAATATGAACGAATTTCAAGTTCGTAGTTTTTAGTTTATTCAGTTTGTAATTAGCTTTTTAAACTGATATAAAATAAAGATATTTATACTTCTTTCTTAAAAACACAAATTTATTTTTATTTCTATTACTCCCACTAAAGAAAGACTGCAAGACTAATTTGTTAGCATATTTTAATTAATGGTAATAATATCCCGAAATATCTCGGGATCCCAGGATTACCAATTTAAGATCCCGAAATCCCGGGAATCACAAAATGGTCCGGGATTGGATGCCTTATGCACGACTCACTGTTAAAGTAGCTGAAATAGGACTTCAGCTGGGATTATACTGATTGATAAGTAGATTTAAATTAACTACCACAGATTTATCACAATTCTTATCTAGTGTCAGTAGAAAACCACCGACAGTGCGTACCTACCAGTGTTGCCAGATTTTAACTTCAAAAAACTGTGATTTTCCAAGAAAAATACTGAATGTTCAACACAAAAAAACTGGTACCTTCAAAACGATGGGAATTTTAGAATGTCAAGGTCTCTTACCCGTATGTTTGGAATGTAGCTGACTACTTCATATTCAAAAGGTAACCTGGCATCTCTATCGCCTCTTTATCACTTTAAAATTTACTTACATAAAAACTAAATAAATATATAAATATAAGGAGGGTTGAACTCGGATCTTTCGAATGGCACGAAAGTGCTCTTCTCAATGGGCCATTGCCCCTGCTACAGCAATCGAAATTAAAACAAAAAGTTTCAAAATCTTTCGTTAAAAAGTTAATTAAAGATTTTTCCTTCTTAACTTTAATGTTTTTTAAATGCCGTTCCGAATCATTAATCGACTCTGAGTGCGGCTGTAAGTTTGTCTAAGAAACGTGATTTGCAGTTAAAACTGTGAATATGGTAACATTGGTACCCAGTACATGACTTGCTGAGATACTATATTGTTAGTCAAGCGTTGTTGCTTGTGGCTTCATAGCCACGCGCTTTGTGGTCACTAATGCTCAAAACTGCTGTATATTCGTTGGTTAATAGCGAGATATGCACACAGATGTCATGCTCAATGGCAGAATGGCGGGGGTTCGGATTCGAATCACCTCCGCCTCCCGTTGAGACAAGGGTATTTTTTTCCCAAACGTACGCATTTAAATAAAAAATATAATTTTAAAAAGGGATTTGTGTTTGCTTAGACGACAAAGTACCAGAATTTAGGCACCAGTGGCCATGCGTAATAAGGCTATCAAATAGCAAACAAATATTTTGATTTATTTATCTTTTTCTTTTTATTTATACGATTTATTGAAAAGAAGGAAAATACGGGTCTATATGTAATTCAAAGCTTACGAAAACAAAGGAAAAAACATACAAAAATAAAGGAACTTGTAATTATCAAGATACAATGTCCGCCAGAAGGCAGGTATTTTCACCTATATTAGGTAAACTCAAAGTTTAATAAAAAAAGCGACATCAGATTCATTAATTTATTCCAAAAATTTGTTTTAAATATTTTTTTTAACCAATAGAAAAATAAGGCATTTGAGGGTTAAATTGATTAGCGGAGGGCGGCGCTCAGACTGTTGCATGAGGGCATAAGCCTTCAACAAACAAGCTAAGATTTAAGGAAATGATTTTCATATTTTTAATAAATTAAGTGTATCACAGATTTCTGCTCTTGAATTGAAACTCCTTCAACAAAATTAACGAATGGCCTTTAAGCCAGTATATAGTATACGCTATACACTTTAACTTACCTTTATTTTCAAAGAAGTTCCATTATAAATAAATTCCATATACATTCGTACCATTTTCTAAGAACTTTGTTTATTCTTAGTTTTTGAGTTAAATTTAATAAATTTATAGTTTAAAAAACTAAAACCTAGCTATTATAATTTCCATTCGTACTGTCGTCAGGTATGTAACTTGAGAATAAAATTGCTGCATCTTTTAGGCGCATCAATATTACATAGTTACATCCCGAGCTAATAAAAGGGAGGTAAAAATTTAGAAAAAATATATGAGTAACTTAGAATAACACCGGAAAAAATCAAATTTATGTTTTTTTGTAGTCTCTTGTCTTTGGTAAATATTTCTCTATGACAAAGTCCAATATTAGCAAAATTATTTCTTGTTCTGCAATACCAGGTTCCGCATTTCTCTTACACCTTTCTGCTATAATTACCACTTTTCGATGCAATCGCTTGAGCCATTTTCTTTGTAGTGTCGCCGCTGTGTGTGCGGCGGTGGGCAACTCTTAATGTATTTTGAGCAAAGATAATTTGAATGAGCGTAAGTGCATTTGCAGCGAATTGCAATCGCTGGGCGCTGAAATGTATGCGCGCCCTTGCGCTGGGGATATGAGCCGGGGCAATGACGGTTGCTGCGATTTTTCGTCGCCATCGATGACATCACTAACGTTGTGCTTTGGTACCTGTAAAGAGAGCAAAAAACACTTGTTATGAGAAAGCAAACGAGACAGTAAATATGTGAATATCTGGTTGTATAAATCGATGGTTCTCTGCAATAACTACACAACTCAAAATTAAAAAAAAAAACTCTTAATACAGTACAGTGGCTCATGTTTCACATTCTTGTCTAATCCATGACTAAGCCGTACTACTTACTGAAGTAATGCTTACTACTTACAGTAGTAGAAGATTTTATTTTTTGAGTTTTGTATTGTGTCGTCAATGCAGAGGACCATAGAAATGAACAGTATTAGAGAAACTGTAGTTAAATACTCATATGGGGAGGCCCCGTCTTCCGCTAAGCGCTTTAACATTTGCGCTCTATGTACTATATAAACGTTTACTATTATTATTAAAACGAAATTGCTTTAATAAATTTTCACCTACTGGTATTAATTTCACTTCAGATAGAATAGAAGATAAATAGGTATAACTGGGGATACCGGATTTGGACACTTACAAATCGACTTTTCACATTAGATTTGATCCACATGAACAGCTGTGATTATTTTTTTTTTTGAATTATTGCACTTTGCCCTAAAATATCTGCTATTTTGAGTAGAAAAAGAGTAAATTAATAAAATTATTAACAGTGAGTATAAGGCTTTGTTATTTGATGGATTTATACAGCTATTTCTTTAGCTGTCGTTTTTTTACTAATATATAAAATTTTTTTGAAAGCCGGTTTTTTCTGTTCGAAAGCTTGAGAACAGCCGTAACGATTTTTCGAAGTTTTGGACACCTATTTCCGACATTCCGAGCATGGTTATAGACTTAAAATAATATGTATATTTGAAAAGAGAAGTTTTCTCGTAGGTGAGAATAGTCTTGCAATTACGTATAACGATAAAATGTTAAAAATCTGGCCTATGTGTGACATGATGATTCAGAGTTTTTGTCAAAAACGTCAGGTAGTTTCTGAAGCAATTTTCTAGAACCGCACATATATTTATTTCTTAACATTTCGATTATATTTTGCTGCTAAAACTGGGTGATAGCAAGTTATGAAGGTTATTACTAAGTCTTTGACATATCTTGTGGAAAAATCATTGGAAGCTCTTGGGATCATCTTGGATATATGTGAGGTGTTTATATTCGTAGTAAGAAATGGTGGTGGGTTATGAATCTCCACGCACATGCTTGATATGAGTATATATAACCGGTGGAGTCGACATGTTTTGTCGAGCGAAGATTATTTTCGACCAATTAGCTATTAGAAGACACATTGTTCGAATAAAGCTACCCATCCGGTTCTATTGTAGCAGATCCAAACTCAAGGCATAACGGACATAACCCAGGCTAGTTGCCTAAGCTGTGTTTTGTGTCATGAGGTTATAATATGGCAATGTACAGGATGCAAAAGAACGTTATGCCCTGCCAAGTAATATTTTAAAAATTAACACATATAAATGCCCGCTGTACTAAAAAAAGTACACTCCCAAAAGTTAACTTTTGAGCTTTTTTCGTTAATTTTAGTTCCTTAGTTTTTTTAAAATGGCTTTTATGATCACATATATAAAATTCCAACCGTTTTTGTTTGGGCGTAAATGGGTTAAGATACGTATGTTGCAAGTTAAAACCACCCTTGTAAAAATCTTTGTTGCGAATTACATAAGCATTTGAGATAAACCTCTTATCTTCCACAGTTTTGCTTTATCCAATATTTCCATATTGCTCAGAACCTCTCGAATAATCATGAAAAAACTTCCTTTGCAGATTTTGATGAAAAATCGGTATATTACAGTATATCCACATCATACTTGGTAACGTAAGGCATTTATTATCTAAAATAGTCACACAGCAAGCCAAGTTTTGAACTTTGCGCTCGAATGCATTGAAAATGGAAACGGGGTGCTGTAAAATTAACTCCATGTGGGCGATGAAGTGCAATGAAGAAGCAACGAGGCAACAAATGCAACCTGGCAGTGACTGTGGGACTGTTGCACTCCAAAGAACAACCACATGAGGCAAAAAGTTGCTGCGGTGTATAAAGCTACAAAACAAACAGATACCAGAAGTATACTATTGGGAGCTCCCAAAGATTGAAAAGCCAACACCATGGCACAACCTGGTAAAGGTCATCATCAAGGTTTGCTTCGGAATCAGGAAAGCCGAAATAAGTGTCTTTTTAGGGGAAGCTAGTAGAGTATGACCCGGGTGTCGACGGAGACGGTGAGCGAAATAGTAGTGAAAGCGGTTAGTTGTTACGGTTTACAACTCGGAAAAAGGTACTCAAATTAAGACTTCAGTTTGTAGTCGGAAATAAAATCTCCCTGTCAGCGGTTCGGGGTTGTGCAAAATGAATACCTTTGGGCATAGCTCAATCTTAAGCAAAATTCCGACAGCAAATAGATCAGCGGACTACATGGTATAGAACCCAGATTTCCAATTGTATCCAAGGGTGAGGTTCCCAAATTAGCGTTACTAGGAAAGATAGAGATGTTATTTACGCAGATAGTCAGCAGTATTCTTGGTTTTATCGTCGTAAGAGAGAGCTTTGCTCGGCAAGTCTTTCAAAGACACTTCCAAAAAAAAACAGACCTCTTTAAAACTTATACCCGATACGTATATCGAATTCCTAAACTAAACTTCTTAGTGCAAATTTCGGATATGCAGGTGGTGCACGAAATGGCATATTTTGTCTGTTATCATACAATTAATCCAGCAATTGCATCATCATACAATTAATCCAGCAATTGCAGTCAAAATCTTTTATAGGGCTACCAATTGCACGTTGCGTTACCCAATATAAATCATAACTTCTAGAAAATATTGCACTTTTCAACATATTCATAGATACTCTATGGTTTTTGCAAAGGAGACAGGACAATAGCAGCAGTCTGCTTCCTAATACTAAAGATAAAGTAGCTTGCCGCTTGCACACCTGGCTTTGAATTCAATTTAGAGCACCGCCACCCGCATTGTGAATAGGAAAATGGCAATAAAATCGAATCTACGCACATTTCGTTTAAATTAAATTCTTTTTTACATCTAGAGGGACAAGGCAATCAGTGAAACCGATTTTCGGTAAGGAGAAAGGGTGTTCTATGCCATTGTTCCAATGTTTCGTAGTTTCCGACGCAGAGGTTTGCAAAAAGTAGATAGGTATGTGCATCAAAAAATGTTCGATTGCATTTGTAATTTAGTTTGCCCGTTTGTTTGTTTGTCGACGAGTGAAATGAAAATCCCTTCAGCACTAGAAGCATTAAACTAGTTTTATCATTTTAATATAGAATTGTGAATCAGTTTCTTTGCCTCATGGCGGAATATGAACCAACTGGTTTCCAGCTAACCGCCGATCTGGGTGTGAATTTATTTCCGAACGCTTTTCGGTGTACTTCAATGTGGACTTAGTGTATACTTTCGTACATATGTGTAAGTAAATATAAATGGAACTGCAATATTCACTTGTCACACACACGTTCTCATATCCTTACCGATAGGTGTATCTCAATCCAGACCTGCCGCATCTACGGATGCACTCTTTGCTAATTTAGAACAATGGCGAAAGCGTTGAATGGATGGGACCGATGAACGACATAAAACTATAGTGTCAGGCGCTCGGGGGGGTTTAACTACCAAGAACTACAACGTCAGCAAAATAAGAAGAATAACACAAACTGAAAATCGGCCCAACTGCCTCCCTATTGGTTCACTTTTCCGCACCAGCGTTCACAATTCACAAAATCCCAATTGATTTTCACGCTAATATAATGGGCAAAGAAAGCATAACTCGGTGCCATCTGGTATGAATATGTATGTATGCACAAATAACCACAATAGACACAAATAAAAAAAAATTGTGCCGCCAAAGCTATTCCAATGCATTATGACACAATTCATCTCAACTCAAAACTCCTACCATGCCTCCATGCCAGCCACCGGTTACCACCAGCGACAAAGACACAAAGTTCGCTTCTGGATATTATACAAACAAAAATATAAACATACAAACCTTGTAGTCGTATAGTCGTAGTCGTATAGGCGCCAAATTCGGCCTTAGACAGATGAAGGTTTGTCAGGTTGAGATGCCACGTGTACAAGTTAAACATGGCATCCGATAGCTTCTACTTGTTGCTACTGTGCAGGTTTAAGTTACCTATCCGCAGACATCCACATCACTTCACGTTGTGGGTAAAGATAAAAGTCACAAAAATAGAGAAAAAATTGAGGAAGGCATCGAGTTAGATGAGAAATGACAGGCAATTACGCCAATTACGACGTCGACTTTTGTACTACTGTTACCGCTGTTCTTTTGTATTACAAACAAATCGAATAGTAATTTAAGTGCAGATGCATTACCTTCATTGTGATACCAGCCAGCGAACAGCTCCGGATAAACTTTCACAATGCATTCGATATTGATTTCACGTTCAACGGGTGCGCCTAGCAATTGATTGGCAGCCTTAAGTGACGGTGGAACTGTGAAGAAAAACCAAAAATCAGAGAAGCGTAACTAGAAGCAACATTTAAAGCAAGCAATATTTAAAGAACTTCAGACAATATTTCATATTCGTCTTAAACTTCGGAACGCTGAGAAAAATAACACTGTGGGGAAAATCGCAAGTTTTGAAATGACACAAAAAAAAAACGACGAATAACGTGAATTAAACTTTGAGTCGTAGGTTACGAATCTGGTTTTCTGGATCAGGTAATTTTCCCAAGATATTTAAATTTTTATGAGAAAACAAATCAAATTTTAAGAGGCTAAACACTAAAAAATTAACAGATTTTTGGTAAGTTATATTCATTTGTATTAAAGTCTGTTCTTTTACAAAACATTCACAAAATGAGTAACATCTTACATGATAAAGTTCGAATATTTTATATTCACAATGCAAAATTAGAAATATCTTGTGAAAATAACCTGATCTAGAAAAACGGTATACATATCCGTAAGATACGACTCAAAATGAAGTTTATGTGTTTCGGCGTTTTTTTCATTTTAGCGTTCCCGCAGAGTAGTAAAACCACGATATTGTCAATAATAAATGTATTTGTATGTAGGTACATATACATATGTATCGATAGCTTTTTCGGGTAATAAATCGCTAAATCAAATAAAAAGTGTGCGGAATAAATGATCTAAAAATAAATCACTTACGTTCTATCGGAATCACCTTGCACATTTTAATTACTTTCTATGAGTGCCTAAAGTAAATATTTGTGTATATTCTTCAAACCGGTGTATTTTAAAAAGTTTTTGTGGTGCCTTTTCAAATGCTTGATGTTCCAGATGAAAATAAGAAGCAGAAAGTACGAGTACCCGTGTTGTTTCCATTGCAGTTCTAACAACGCCATCGAATGCAAAAAATTCTATAGAGAGACATTTTTGTTATACATCGAATTACCGTGGGAGACTAGCATATTTCATTACTAGCGTCGAAAAGTAGCAACGCAAATACGTACGATCTTCAAGTATTTTTCAATTTCCAGTTCCCCAAAAAATGGTGCTTACCAAGTTATTAATTGATTATTACATTTCGGGCTTTTCGGACTATTTCGGAATTTTCGAGAATTTTGGGATTCTCGGGACTATATCAGGATCTTTGAGACTACTTCCGGATTTTCGGGACTATTCCAGAGCTTGGCTTTATGTATCTGTCGATCTTGATATCGATATATTTATCGATTTTGAAGTCGTTATATCGATTTTTTTATCGATATATTTATCGTTATTTTTATTCATATATTATCAATATATTTATCGATATATATAATTATTATTGGCGATATATGTATCGATGTTGTAATCGATATATTTAGTGGTATATTTATCGATATATATGCATATCAGGTCTCGAAGAAATCGATATATTCCCTAGAATCCTAAAAATCTCGAAGCAATCTTGAAATCCCGACAAAGTCCCGAGAATCACGAAGCAGTCTCGAAAATCACGAAATAGTCGCAAAAATCCCCATATAGTCTCGAGAATCCCAAAAATCCCTAAGAAGTGTCAAAAATTACGAAACATAATAATTAATTGCAAACTTGGTACGAATCATTTTTCGTAGAACTGGAAGTTGGAAAGCACTTGAAAATCGTATTTGCGTTGCATTAAAAAGTATTATTTAGTTGAAAAATCACGAATAAAATTTAATTGTCCTACAAAAAATGGATCTAATATAAACCAGTCCTCTTATAAAAATCAGTATGTAGAATTGATAAACTTGGGCAATCGCCTTAGCTTTATACCCGCTATATCGCCCAGGTCTCTTCAGGTTCCAGTATCTATGAACCTGATACTCACAAGTCATTGAATGGTATCTTGAGTCTCTCCACGCGCCTCCCTAGAGTGAGATGACCCGCCAGCAGCTCCATAGCCAAGGAAATTTCTTCTCTGCACAGCACAAGGAGCTCCTTCGATCTTTTCAAAGCCCCATACTGGTCATATGATTTTTGTGGTCTTGCAGGTTTCTAATTGTGTCCATTTTTCACCTGCTTAACAGAAGAATACTTGTATATTGAGCTAGCGGGCAACGAACGGCATGTCCAACCTCTTCCAGGATGGCGAATTAAGAAGGGAAGTGTCCTTACTGGCTAGCCCGTCATCTTATTTCATATTAAACGTAAATATAAAAGTTTTAAGGATATATTGTGAAAAGGGTAAATACTTAGCATGTACAAAAAATTACAATTTAATTTTCCTTTGTTTGTTTATTCGTCCTGGTGAAGGTTGAAGCTGAGGCTGGCTTATTTTTGTACCAAAATTGACTTTTTATGTCATTGTTCTTAAATGTCTCCTGCATTGATGTGAGATGATGAAGACCATTTTAGAATATCGCTACAAAACATACCCTATTTATGATTGTGGTATAAATATGTTTGTTTGTATATCGTTGCCATGACATTTTCTCAACCACTCAGTGCTCCCCAAATGCAAACTTAACATATATACCAGAGATGTGAATGCGGTGTGCCGCAATTATTGGACACTCAATCAATACTCCTTTTTTCATTACGCTTACAACTAAAAAGAAAGCACATATCGCACACCTAGATCTAAAGTGCTATCAACTAAAAAAAAATTCTGGGCGATTTTTGCATAAATCAATTCATAGGACGGACTCCATCCAATTAATATAATTATTTTTTCTCTTCATGATTATATATATTAACTAAGAAACCACTGTTATACCCGTTTTTGTACTAATTGCGTTGAGTCTGTACGATCCACAAGCAATTAAATTTCCCTCTCTGGATTTTGAGTTAGCTCACTTTACATCTAGGTGTGCGATATGTGTGATCTCCACCGCAAAGCGTGCAAATACCGCCATCGATAACTACGTAACAATAACAAGTAAAGAAGTGTAAGTTCGAGCGAAACCGAACTTGATATACCCGGCGCAGGTATCAAATATCGTCGTTTCAACTTTCTCTAAACTACATTTGCATGATAAGCGAGGGTGTTTTTCACGATTTCATATTTTTTCGATAATATGCTGAATTAGAGGTTATGAAGTAATTGAACCAAGTTTGGTAGAAATCTATAAAATGGTTTCCGAGATACACCTTTTAGTCATAAAGTGGGCGGTGCCATGCCCTATTCCTAAAAGTTTATAGCTGTCTTATTTATTGTTTATTAACTTGGAGTAAGTTAGCGTCCTCAGTTATTAAAATATCGGAGTTTCGGATGTCTGAAATTTACCGTTTTAAGGGGAGTGGGTGTAATTTTAGTCCGATTTGAATAATTTTCAACGATTTTCTTCATTGTACTAATCTTATTAAGTGGACCGATTTTGGTACAAATTGATGAATAAGAGATTATCCAAAAATGTATAACAATCTAATTTTGTTCTAAGTGGTTATTGTTATTGTTGATTTTGATTCAATTAACTTTAGTATGTATGTATGTAGTTTATATAAATTACCGTTATATCGGAGGTGGGCGTGGTTATTACCCGATTTCAAAGATTTTCAACAAATTTCTTAGCTAGGCCCTGGGCAAGGCTCGTACCGAGTTTGAGAAGGATTTATATAGCGACTACTGAGATACAGCATTTCATCATAAGTGGGCGGGGTAACGCCTATTTCCAAAAATTTCATAATAATACTATTTTCTACCAAAATTCGACTTCGCATCCTAATTTTCAACAATTTGGATCCAATATTTACTGAAATATCGTAGTTTTTGATTTTTCGAAAATACCGTTATATGGGAAGTGGGCGTGGTTACAGTCCGATTTCGCCCATTATCAATACCTTGGGTAAAGGGAAGCCTACATACGGAATTTCGTTGAGATATCCGTGTACACGGACGGATGGACAGACGGGCGGACAGATGGACAGACAGACATGGCTTAATGGACTTCTCTATTCATTCTGAGCATTTATGTATACATCTCTCTATATCTCTATGTCGATTCGTTTTGGCTGTTACAAACAACCGTTATGTGAACAAAGTTAATATATCCTTGTGCACAAGTGCGCTCAGGTATAAACATTTTTTAAATCCAAAAACTCGATTTGAACTCGCGGCTGACGGTGTTAGAGTATAAGCTCTTCTCGCGGGGCTAGTTTCTTATTATACGAGGAGTGCGAGTTACATTTCAGCTTTCACATGCTAAATGTGAGAAAATTGTATGACAACGAAGCTCCCATGCCGCAAGTTTTAACTGTCCCACTCTGCAGCCGCTTTGCAGTAGTGCAGAGACAATTCTAAAAATGGTAAGTCGGGACTAGCGGTTACTCTGGTATTCATAAAACAGTCTCTAGTCCGGAGTAGCTCCGGAAGCTACTCGGCTTTCACATACAAGTCGTGTGTGCGCAGCTAACAAACTGTTGCGACGCTAGCAGAGAATTAGTTTGCGCCCTGCAGCAATAAAGCGGCCAATTTTTCGTAAAGGACTAGTAAATACTTCACTGGTTAAAATTTGACTGGTCAGAATTGGACATTTGCTTGCATCGGAAATGTCAGCCTTCGACTAGTCCCCAAGGAACCGGCCTAGAGATAGACGAAAAGTACAGTTTGGCAGTGACAGGGTGGTGTTGTCTTGCAATTCAATAAAATAAATTTAAAGAACACACATTTACATGCGTGGCTGTAGCTCAGTGCGCAGAGATGCTTGCCACTATTTGTTAGCTTTCAGGAGGGTTCGGGTTCAAATGCCGTCAGAAACAACATGGTTATAAAATGATAAAATTTATTTTTTTTGTGTTTCCGAATTATGAAAAAGCATCTGCGAAGTGCAGAACACAATCTTACTCCAACGAAAAAAATCTCCAAAATTAGACTAGTCCAGGACTATGTTACGGTCAGTGTTGATTGGACCGGTCATTTTCCAATGACACGCCAATTCTAAAAATGGCAGGGGAATTATGAGGGACTAGTGCTGGTAACAATAGGGACTAACTGAGGGCTAACCTAGGGTGGTCAGAATTGCTGCAGGGCGTTTACTAGTGTACGCTTCTAACACAAAAA